GGCGCGCGCGGCGGTCGGGGCGCACCCGGAGCCGGAGCCCTCAGAGATCCAGAGATCCAGAGATACAACGCATTGAGAAAATCGAGACGGAGGTTTTTCGCAGTTTTCGGCCTCTATAGGGGCCCTCGCCGGGCCTCGGGGCCGTCAGAAAAACGACTCGGGAGGAAAAACCGGCCCTGGGGAAAGGGTCGGGACTTCCCTGGATCCCGCATTGAAAAGATCACGACGTCGGATCTCTGGGTACGGGGCGCGAAAACGACCACAGCCATTGTTTTTCCTTGTTTGCCGCCTTCCAGCCCGCAGAAACGAAGCAGTGGTTGTGGTCATTTTCGCTGAGCTTGGCACCAAGGAAATGACCACAACCACTGCTTCTTTTTCGGCCGGCTGGGAGGCGGCACAAGCAAGAAACAGTGGCTGTGGTCATTTTCCCGTCCCGCATCAGCTGAGTCGGGCGTGTGCCTCTGCAGGGGGGAATTTGCAAAAATAGTCAATGCACTGTCCAGGGACGGTGGTTTGACTATTTTTGGGCCATGTGGGGGAGCATTTTTTGGCTGTTTTCGTTTTCGTTTTTAGGGAGACAGGCCCGACTTAACCTTTCAGCTGGAAGGACAGCGGCTGCAAGCAGGCCGACGGCGAAGCAGGCCTCCCGGCGCGCGCCGGAAGCCGGCCGTCGGGGGAGCGCCGGGGCGTGGCGAGGCAGGGCCCGCAGCGGGGGAGGAGCAGCAACAGCAGCACCTTGACGGCAGCGACCACTTCCTTTCGTTCGTCGACGTCGCTTTTTCCCTCCGCCACGTGCACGGCCCGACCGAGCAGGCCCGCGGTTGCGCGGGCCAGCGGAGAGGGCGCAGGGTAAGAGGTAGAAGCGGTGTAGAGCGCGGGGCGAGAAACGAGAAACAGCAGCACCTTGAGGTCGATGAGACACAATGGCCGTCATCCCTTGCATTCGGCAAACCTAGATGAAGGACGTCACTAAGTGTACCAAGTGCGCGGGTCCTCGTCCGGGACGTCCTCCACACTGTGCGTCGCGCAACATAGCATGTAGTTGTTGCGCCATCTGGTCGCGTAGAGGTCGATGCCAACATGTGCTTAGCGTGACATTCAACAGGATGGACCTGTAGTCGTCGAGCTGCGACGGTGTACCCTTGCCCTGGCAGAGGGGGAACACGATGCCATGATTTCTGGAAAATGCTTATTGCTGGTGTACGCTTGTCTTCACGAAGATCGGTGCATAGAGTCGCGCGAGCGTTCTATTCGACCATCAGATCTCTAGTTCTTCCGATTCGCAACGACGATGGAGATCGAGGCTTCATTCTTCAAATCATGACATACCGCTGGTCATGATTCCGATGGCCACAGTGATTTTGCAACACCCTGGTGCACTGGCGCAGCTGGAGGACCAACCACACCTGCTAGCGTTCCTTGTTGAAGGACATCGGGGTACGGACTTTGGAGCTGCCAACTGTGGTTGCAAGGATTTTGCCCGTTCGAGGAGACGGTCACGTCCAGGAAGCCCCCTCGCAGACGCGATCTTCAACATTTCATTCGCCAAGCCGCTGGCGGCCATCGATGAGGAGCTGATGAAATATGAAATATCCATGGGTTTCAGACGAGGCAGTTTTCTCAGCGGGCCTGCCAGCACCTTATCTACATGATGTGTCCTTTGTTGATGATGACCTATACTTGCTGACGCCCCGGATGCATACGAAGCAGGAAATACAGCGGGCGTTGCGATCGAACGTCTACACAAACACATGATTACGCATGGGCGTACGGCGAATTACCAGCGCCACAAGAGCAGCGTCATGATCATTCCAGCTGGAGCAGCGGCGCAGGATCTTCGGGCGAGGCTTCAGAAATCACGCAACGCCAAGTTGGTCACTCCCGAGCGGGACGTAAATGCGCATCTGGTGCGAAACTACAAATATCTCGGCACGTTGATAGACGAGGAGGCTGCCCTTGGACCTAGTATAGCAATCGCCGCGGCCAGACAGAAGACAGCGCTAGACCCGATCAGAAGGATGACGACCAGGCTGCACAGACTTACGACAGCCGCTAAGGTCAACTAATGCGATGTCCTGGCCAACGTACACCTGCTGTATTTGACGGCAGCATGGCGCGAATTACAGATGGCTCAGAAGAAGGCGTCGGAGGCTCCAAGGATCAGACCACGTCGTGCGGAAGTCGGCAAACAGCACCATCCCGAGACGGACACATACGCCACGGGCGCAAGGGTGCTTGTTGCGGCCAAGAGGGTGGGGATAAAGCACGTTGTCAGGAGGCGCCGTCTCATTCACTTTGGATCGCTATGTGCCACTACCCCTTTCGGCGCAGTTTTTCTGATCGATATGCTGGCCCCGCAGAATTGCGCGCGGGCGTCGATGATCATGGCAGACGTTCGCAGGCTTGGCATACGCAACCTTAAGAGTGGAATGGGGGACTGGACGCTGAAGCGTTGGTTCGGTTTTGCAAGGGATTCGCCGCGCTCTTCCAAGTTGCCGGTCAACCGAGCATGGACACAACGGTTCCCCAAGGAGCTGGATCGCCTTCATCTCCGAGCATGGCGGCATCGCGTTGGGGCCGCGCCACCCTGCGACCAGGAGGGCACCAGCCAAATAAAGTGCATCTGCTACACGCGCGCGGGAAGGCGCTCGCCACAGTTGCCGCGTGGAGGCGGCGTCAGCTTTAGCACAATCCGATTGACCTATCGCAAAGGGCAGCGTAGGGCTACCAATGTGCGGCGCGTGGGATGATCTCCGGTAATCGCTCATTGATCATGAAGCATCTGCGGGCGGTTGTCAACCGTTGTCTGCTATGGCTTGAAGAACACATCCCGTTGCCTGACGAGCAAGAGGCCCTACTGCGACGCCAGGGCGATCTTGCTATCGAGTGGGGTCAAGCCGATGGGGGATATCATCGTTTCAACGGCTTCCGGGGGGCGAGATACGGCGGGCGCGGAGATGGAGCTGGGGGCGGGCATCTTTGGGGGGCGAGGTCCACGATTTCAGCCCCCTCCAGCACCTGCAGCTCTGGTTGAGACTGCCCGCCCCGTCTCGAACCTTGTGCGCATGGGAGACAGTTGGGCTGATGAGGCTCGCGCGTCATTCCATCGAGGGCCACGCCCAGGCGATTTTGTCAGTTGGGCGCGCCACCTGTCCAACCGCGTGGCCGCGCCGTGGGCGCGCGGCGCATCTGAATATGATCGGGGTGAGAAGAGTGCTGGATGGGCAGTTCTTGGTGACGAAATGGGGTCTCCACACGCGGCAGTGGCTGGGGGAAGGGCGGTCGGAGTCGCGTCGGCCCCCAGCGCGCCGCCTTAGGGGCGCGCGGCGACGCCGGCATTCATTCGCGGAGGCCGAACGCGAGATACTTCGAAGTCGGCCAAATTTGCTGGGAGCCAAAGATGTCAGAAAGGGGGGGGGGGGGGGCAAGCGTGCCCGAGATCTTCTACATCGCCACGGGGCGAGGTGCAATTGCCAGCGCGTCTGCGGGGCCAGGAGCTGGAAGGCAATCGTGAGCTTCGCTGTCTTATGCTCTTCTCGTTTGGCGCCTACTCATTGGGGGTGCCCGTGATGTCCGCGGCCCCCGCGGCCAGACGGGCCGCGGCAATTGCGCCGGCGCCCGAGCTTCGAGGGTCGGTTCGCAGCAGTCGAGTTCGGCGCCAACAGATCCTTGGCGAAGTTGCAAGTAGCGGTGAAGCCCTGGCAGCCCTGTCAGCACATTGCGATTTAGATTTTGGCCGCGGCAGGAGTGGGGCCCCAGGTCGCCCCCCTCCAAGGCCACAGAGGTCGTGGTCTGTTCGTTTGTCATTCGTTTGTGCCGAGGCCATCTTGGCCGCGTCGATCGCAGCGGGCCGCCGGCGGTCATTGCCCAGCTGGCGCGGGGCCCTCGCCGCCCCCCTGGAGCCCAGAGGCTGATCTTGATGATCATGCTCTTCGGAGGCCCCAACCGGACCTTCTCGGCCTCCGAGCTCTATGGGATCAGGCGGGCAAGTTGGGGGGCCCCCGCCTGGGCGGCGAAAGCGGCAGTCGAGCGCCGCCCCGTGGCGGGGCCCCCCCGACCAGAGCAGCCCCCCCTCTTGTCTCCTACTCATCCACGTAACTATTGACCCCTTGCCTTGTCCACTTGCTGTCTTCCTTGCTTCATTGTTTGCGCCTGTGGGGCGGGCGCCTCCTATTCCGGAGCTTTTGCGGCCCGCCCCGCGGGCGCCTGGCCTTTCCGTCGCGGCGCTGGCGCTCTCGGCCCCATCGTTCGGGCGCTTCGCCGCGCGCGCCCTTCCCTCGCGCGGCGCGCGCGCGGCCGCTGGTCCTGGCGCTGCGAGCGCGGGGGGCGCTCGGCAGCCTGCGCGAGAGAAGCAGCCGCAGCGCGGGCAATCGCTGCCGGGAGGGGCCGCGGAACAGCGCGCCCATTTAGAGGGGCCGCCCCAAGCGGGGCAAGCTGCAGAAGTCGAAGAGGGCAAAAAGAAGTCCAAGGAAAAGAGGGCCAGGAGGAGCCGAAGTCGGCGTTGAAAATCCAGGATCAGGCCGACGAGTCCTCGAAGCCGCTGGAGCCCCTCTCAGAGAGGGGTCGGGCACGAGCGAGGAGACCTCCGACGCGACGTTCTCGGGCGCGAGCGCCGAGGTCGAGCAGCCTTTCGAGCAGGGGGCCGTGCTCGAGAGTGTCGGGGCACTGCGCGGCCAGGCCGCAGGCGCGCGCACTGCCTGGTGCGACGTGGTCGACAGCGACGACATCGACGACGGCGAGCGCTGCGGGGGGCGCGGCGAGCGCGGCCTGGACGCGGCGCAACGACGAGAACGGTGACAACGACAAAGAGGTGCTGGAGCGCGCGGTTGGCGACTGCGTGAAGGCGCCTGTTGACATCGAGCACAGCGCAGCCGCCTCGAAATCGCTCGGCCTCCTGGACGGGGAGACGGCGTGCGAGATCGTCGGGCAGAAGGGCCGCGGGCCGAATCCCTTGGGTTCTGGCGCCAGAAAGAAGCGGAAGCAGAGAGGGCGACGGCGAGGTGAAGTCCAGGATCACGTTGAAAGCTACCCATTGGGCCTGCGGCGCGGGCTCGTCTGGGGATCGCTTCGGCTCGGAGGAGATCGAGTTCATGAAGGAGCATCTGAAGGTGCAGATGCTGCTGAACACAGAGCTCACGAAGCTGGACCCCGTCAGCGTCGACAGCTCGGGGCACGGGGCGGCTGCCCCGCGCGCGGTGCTTTGGGACCTTTCGCCCGAGCAGCTGTTCGGGGTCCTGGAGGCGCTGCTCGGCGAGATCGGGGAGAGCTGACTGCCTCGGCGAAGCTCTTCGGGGAGGCCGGCCTGGATGCGCCATCTCCTCCGTCCTGCTCGTCTTGGCTCCGCGGGGGCCAGGTCGCGGGGAGGGAGGGCGCGGCGGTCCCTTTGGTGGCGCGGCGTCCCAGGCCAGGCTTCCCTTTTGTTGTGTGCGAGGGACCTCAGTCCATTATCTGTTAGCCCTGTTATCCCTCCTCCTCCTCCTCGCCCTCGTCCGCCTCCGCCTCCTCTCCTCCTCCTCCTCCTCCTCCTCCTCCTCCTCCTCCTCCTCCTCCTGTTCCTCCCCCTGCTCCTCCTATGCTCCTCCTCCTCCTCCTCCTCCTCCTCCTCCTCCTCCTCCTGCCCGCCCATCCCCCTCTCCTTTCCTCCTCCTCTCTGCTCTCCTCCTCCTTCTCCTCCTCCTGCTGCTCCTTCCTCCTCCTCTCCTCTCCTTCTCCTTCTCCTCCTGCTGCTCATCCTCCTTCTCCTCCTCCTTCTCCTCTCATCCTCCTCCTCCGCGTCCTCCTCCTCCTCCTAGTCCTCCTCCTCCTCCTCCTCTCCTCCTCTCCTCCTCCTCCTCCTCCTCCTCCTCCTCCTCCACCATCTCTCTCCTCCTCCTCCTCTCTCCTCCTCTCGTCCTCACTCCTCCTCGTCGTCTCTCCTCCTTCTCTCCTCCTCCTCCTCCTCCCCTCCTCCTCCTCTTTCTCCTCCTCCTGATCCCTCTCCTCCTCGTCTCCTCCTCTCCCTTCCTCCTCTTCCCCCTCCTCTTCCTCTCCTCTTCTCCTCGTCCTCCTCCTCTTCCTTGTCGTCCCCTTCTCTGCCCCGCCTCCTCCTCCTTCTCCTTCTCCTCCACCCTTCTCCTCTTCCCCTCTGCTCGCCGCCGCCTCCGCCTCCGCCACCTCCTCCTCCTCCTCCCCCTCCTCCTGCTTCTCCTTCTCCTCCTCTCCTCCTACTCCTCCTCCTCCTCTTCCCTCCTCCTCCTCCTCCTCGTCCTCCTCTCCTCCTCCTGCTGCTTCTCCTCCTCCTCCTCCTCCTCCTCCTCCTCCTCCTCCTCCTCCTCCTCCTCTTCGTCCTCCTCATCGTCCTCCTCTTCCTCCTCCTCTTCTTCCTCCTCTTCTTCCTGCTGCTCCTCCTCCTCCTCCTCCTTTTCCTCCTCCTCCATTCTCCTCCTCGTTCTCCTCCTCTTTCTCCTCCTCCTCCTCCTGATCCTCCTCCTCCTCCTCCTCCTCGTTCTCCTCCTCCCCTTCCTCTTCCTTTTCCCTCATTACCTTCTACATTTACTCAATATGAATACTACTGTCCCTCTTCCCCTGATGGCGTGCTGGGAGTAGTAGACCCCCCTCCGCGTATTGTTTGTTACACAGGATTCCCGGGAGTTGGGTTTTCGCCTGCGTTTTTTTCAAATGCTGCTCTCGCTGAGGCGCCGGCCTCATTTCTGCTCCCGAATCGTTC